GTGAGGGGGGAAGCACGGAGAATCAGATGGTGATCCAATGTGATAACTACTGAGAAGGAGAGTCAGAACATAACCATCACCAATTTCATAGCTAATTTTGCTGTAAATGGGGAAAGTTGGTTCTGACGTAATGTGTAGAGGTTCACAGGAATACGCACGTGGTCAATAAACGGAATTGATAACAACTGATAACGTCCGACTCTTCGCGGTGACAGTAAACATTTTTATAGGAAGCCGAACACAGACAGATACGGTAGGTGACCGAAAGGCATCAGTTGATAAGAGCCGATAAGCTGTGTATGGGCTGATAAAGGCCACTAGAATGTGTGTGCCGCATCACACCATAGGCTACAGTCTACTAAGGAACCTGAACGTCAGACATCAGAATGGAACGATTTCACCGGAAAACCGCGCCGCTGCAAACTTAGGCTGAGCCCTAATGGTCCACAGGTGGTCCGTCTCACTGAAGCCTACTGTGTGCTGAGGTGCGCATGATAGCGTGCGGGCAAAACTAGTACATATACACACATACATAAAAATGCATTAGAACCGAAATACTCTGAAATTTTTTGAAAATCGATCAATCTTGCTTACTGCGCGTCTATCACGATGGGGCTCCTGGTAATCAAAGGCGTATTGACTTGCTGCCTGTAAAACGATGATCTTGTAAGGACTGGCATGACTGAGAATGACGAAATGAGGTGATCATGCAAACAACATACCTTTTCACTCTCCTTCACACCGTATGCATAATTGCTCGTCTGTAATGATAATCTGAAAAAAAGTCAAAATGTACAAACTTGGCTTACAGACCATTCGACGAGGAAGAGCTGGACGTTTCTGAAAAGATAGCTACAGTGAATAAAAATGTATTTGGAAACTGTTATTCTTATTAATTTAGTGAGAGATAACTCTCAGCAGTGCGTAAAGCCGATTTTGTATTTCAAGTAATGCAAAAGATTAGTACGAACATATAAGTGCGCAGCTAGCACTGTAACGACACTTAAGCGCATACATGCTATCACGAAAAGCTTTTGTTCATTTTTGGGCTTTTTCTGCTGAGCAGTGTTACTAATTGCAATACCATTATTGAGTAGATTATTTGGCCTCTCAGACTCCTACCTATCCTCCATAATAATGAATACTTGCTAATAATAATGAATAATAAATACCCAAATAATGTGTGAAAGCAGGCATCTATCGTAAGTATAAAATAATTTCCTATTGCTTTGATAAAATATTCTGAATGTGGTTCAAACCCACTATGTATATTACGATCGTTTATCTATCACACTTGCTGCTAACCTTGAACCTCGTTGGGCAAAAATGCCTAAAGCGTATAGGACGAGTCCTTGCACCTATGCTGTCACTGTACTAGAAGATATTTTCAAGATGTTTCAGAGCTTATGGATAAACCGAAAGCAGTATACAGGGTTCCATGAGTACATTGCTCATCCCAACCAGGCCGGGAAGCTTCATCCCATAGCCCAATTTTTAGAACACCGCTCGAGGACTGTGGAGATGCGACCTGACAGTTGATTCAAGATTCCTTCTTCTACAGTTCGAAATGTCTTCGTTGCTCACATGTCCATAACACAATTCTTACAATTCATGCTCAATAATGGACGGCTAGGATTTCTAACACTGTGCGGATACCATTCACCACCAATTAGTGGATCACTTGATGATTTTCGCAAACGGACTGCGAAGACCATGGATGAGCACTTGTTCCATCCACTGGAAAAACCGTGAAAGCCAACTTGGGGGTCTATCAAAAAGTGGTCTTGATAGACAATTTCTTGCTTTAGGTTACTACACACATTGTTCAGGAACTGTTTATGTGGAGCAGGTTTTGTAATTTTCAAACATATCCAGACTGGCCTCTCTGTAGTCTAAGTGGCCAAGATAGTCGTTCAGAAATACGAGGTCTCCGCACGTGCTTCCTCTACACCGAAATCGGCGGAATGAAACATCAAATAGGGTGTTCGACATGTTCAAGTCATTAGTATATCGAGAATCACGAGCAGCTCACTGAATCTGTGAAGCATCGAATTCCAGTGGACAAGGAACACGTAGTGAAGAAGGTTTGTCAGTTCGCAAAAAAAGATGTTAAGTCTAAAATCGTGCATCTCAGCCTACGCCGAAAATTAATACTACATCAGCTAGAATATCGCCACACCCGAATTCAACAATGGTCAAAAATCTAGTACGAGAACTACTGCTCACAAACTCACCAGACATGCAGTATTATTAAGTGACTTGTGCGGAGCCTAGCAACATAGAATTAGCGATAAACATCATGTAGAGACAGTACGAAGCTAGAGTTTGAGAGTCAGTTGTCACATAAAGTTAGAGGCTCGGAATTCAATTCGCCATACCCCCTTAGTGAGCCCGACTTTTGCCTTTAAGGAGATGGATAAATTGTCATAACTTATTAACAATTCGATGGAATTGGATGAAACTGTGCAAGCGTACTGCTAAAAGCCTACAGTCATGGGCATGAAAGTGGGCCTCATATATTGCAGCGGTCGGCTTCAATCTGGAGCCAAAAGGGAGTGGCCACCCAGAACGAGGGGTTTGGTGGGACAGGACAAGAGTGTACTGAGCAGGGAGAAGTTACTGTGGAATGTAGTGGTGTTCTTGATTACAGCAAGTCTCAGAGACAACACGAGGGTGACTTTACGCGAGGAAGAATCCCGGGAAACTGGAAGAAGGAAGATTTGTAACGAGTGTGGTCCAGGAGTTTGATGTTGCTCACACCATTGTTTTGTGCGCATAAGGAGCAATATGGACTGCAGCCACTGCTGCCCCTAGAAGAGTAGGTGTGTGGATCACGATCAACTGCAACAGCAGGTGATTGCTACGTTTTGCAACAGGCAAGAATTGGACCACGTCAGTCACAGGCTGCAGTTGCAAAAACATTTATCAGGATTGTAAGGCACGTAATCCCAGGCTGAACAGTGGTACAGTCGAAACCCGCGCATCGGCGGAACATTTGCTAGGTGCCGGGATTTAGCGATGGACCACCGATTTGGTTGATCGCGTGTTCTTCTCAGTTAAGATCAAATTGGATGTAAGTAGTGATTTTGGACTTACCCGCATGTGGCGAGAATAGGAACACGTAATGCACCCAGGACCATCGTTCAACATGATTGTTTTGATAGTCCATTCGATATGGTGTGGGGAGGCATAAAGTTGCAAGGGCGTACCAACCTCCCAACTCCTGATCGCGAATGCTTTCTGATCGACGTTATTGTGACGCTGTACTCCTGTGCATCTTTTCAAGGGTGCCTTTGACCTCAACTTCAATCGTATGGAGGACAAGGTGCGAGAGCATCGAGCAGCCTAAGTGGAAAGCTCTTGGAAAGCGAGGATTTCCGCCTATGCACCAACAACTGTACAGCAGTTGTCAATCGCGGTCTATAAGAAATGGATCTTTTTTCCACAAGAACCTTGTGGTAAGTATTGGAGCACGTGATGGAGCATGCTTTGCAGTCCGTAGTGTTCATACACCCCATCAAGAACCAGCTCCTCTCTTTTGAATGTCTACCATGAGTTGGAGTAGCCTCACCCATCGACCGCTTCAGACAGGGTATTTGAAGAAAAATGTCTTTTCCAATCGCCCCTTTGCGCTTTTCTGTTAGTAACTCTCTGCACTGTACCGCAACATTTACTTCTATATATGTGCCAAATTTGATCGACCTAGGTTAGCTAGCAACCAGATATCATGTGAAAGTTACTTCCGTCCTTGAAGTTTTGCACACCAGTGTGGTTACTTCGCTGTGAGGGAAGCGAGGTGAAGAGCTTTCACGACGAAGGTTGCTGGTTGCTGAGCAGACTTCGAAAGCACTCCGCCCCCAAAAGCGATCCGCCCACTAGTTTAGTTGGTGATTTGGACGAGCTGCGTTGCCAGCAGCGGCACAACTGGAGCAACTCGATTGGAGTGTGGTTTGGCATGGTGTTACCAAACGCGTTGCGCTGAACTCGTTCATACGCCCGCTTTCTGAGCTGTCACCTGTTCATGAGTGAAAACCAACGGCCAAAAAAGGGGGTCCCATTTTGCATTTTGACGGATTTCTCCGCTTTTTTCGCCACCTGCGTACCATTGAGCACCACCACGTCTCTTTTGAACCTCTTGTGCCTATCGTAACCGCTGCCTTTGTGGTGAAACCTAGCTTCGGGCCAAAACATCTGCAGTTAAGCATCTGGTGGGATATGCAAGGAGCCATCTACTTTTATGCAGTTCTTAGACGTTTCGAAGCATTGTCGAGCCTATAAGCGACTAAGTTCGAAGCTTCACCTCATCCGTGTACTAACTCACATTTGGCTTCTCGATTTCTATAGTATCTAGTGCTTACATTTTAGCTCCTTAACTCAGAAGGTATTTGATGAACCTCTCACTTTTCATGATGCTACCTTTTTTGTTGTTTCCATAATTGTAAAAGTCTCTCAATCGGCCAACCTTCTTCAAATAAAAAACAAATAAATAAATAAATAATAGGCAGCAGGTTCTAGTGTCATTCTTTAGGTTACATGACTGAATTATACTGAGTATTGGGCTGTAAGGTCGTGTCTGCTTTTTCTAATTTACGTTTTTTTTTTCAGACCTTGCTCTGGATCTTTCAATTCAAATGAGTTTCAAATATTCTTCATGCAAAGGGCTGAGGTCCGGCTAAGATTTCAAATTCAACAACGCCTGCATTCTGGAGCTTTTGTATCACAGAGATCTGTTTACCGCGAGCTACCCCAATTCCTTCCGAGCCGTCTGCGTGAATTTAAACTTATATGATTGAATACACGACAGTAGAGGCGTTGGGCTGTGGATCGTCAAACTCGTTGTCTATTTTTTCCGGCTGACTAAGTATTTGTATTAAATACCTTATGTCTTTATTTGGCTTGTTTTGTGTGTTTGGTGATTTGCGTGCGTGTGGTCTTGCGAAAATTCAATAGCGCTGTTGCTGTACCATCCATGCACTATGGAGGTTTTGAATTTTTCATGATATGATTGCAAAGGCGTGGACTTACTGTGAAACAATATTTGTTGGGGGAAAGAACGTGCATAACTTACTGTATGTCTGGCCAAAGGTCGCCCAGAACGTCGAAGTTCTCAGATATGCATCGCGCTTGGTTGATCCTCTTCAGTAGGCAGTGAGGTGTTGTCTTCCGAAATATCATGGTTGGCTCGTGGAAGAATATGCTTGGTTGGGACTAGTAAGGATCTTAATTTCTAGTTTTTGCTTAGCCAGGCTGATAAAGCGCCTATTGGTTTTTCGTGTCCATATGTCGCCTTGAGTTGCTTACATTTATTGCCTATTTTAACCTTGTCGCTTCCAAAGTAGTGCTCCTAATTGATCGCTTTCTTTTGTTTTTCTTTCATTTCATTTGCATTCAACTTGCTTCCCCGAAGCATCGGATTTGCTAATCCGGCTCAGTGGTATATCTAGTGTGTTTGTCTATACAGGCTCTTCAAGCGTTGTTGATGTTGTCCCAGTCTGTTCTTGCAGGGATGCAGGGTTTGCGCGACCTTTTAGTCGGCTTCTGTTCGGTAATAACCTGAGTTTTCCTTCTGGCGCGAGAGGGAACCTCAGCCTCTGTCCTTTACACGGTGCGTAGGATTCAGCGCGACACGACATGCTGTCCGCCTGCGTAGAATCAAGTCCAAGACGCGCACTGAGGCAGAAAGGACGGCAAAATCATAAACGTGTGCTTGTAGCAGTAATCTGCATATTTTTTTTCAGACCAACCCTTTCTGTTCGTTGGTGTTTTGTGTTGTTTGGTGTTGTCTATGAGTTCTTAACCATGCCTCCGCATTTTCCTTTTGTCCTCGTCCCTCGTTGCTGCTTTGAATGGATCTGTGTTTTTCATTGTTTCACGTTTTATCTCTCGTGTTATATTGTTTTTACCATCATGATGCTCACATACGAGTCCCTCAACGGTCGACGCGTTTACTTCAGCTCGTGATCACGATAGGAAGTACTGGTTTGTTACGCAAGTGCTGTCAGCTTGATTAGGCAGCTCGTTCTTCTTCCGGCGTTGGTTTGACTGCTTTACGCCATTGGATCTTTAGTTCCCTTGTGAGAGGGATTTCGGACCTGCTCCTCTTTCTATTTGAGGCTTAGTTTTTTTCTTTGAT